TCGATTGACATTACATTTGAATAGTTGGAGATTATAGCTCTCAGGGAAAATGGAATAGAGAAGGGAGTTCCACAGGCGAGAGGTGCGAGACATGAAGCTATTGAAGTATAAGAGACGGCTACATTTAGGAGTTTCGACAGTGAAGAGGTGAGAGCGGGAAGCCAGCCTCGTAGGGCGCTTGAACTCATGAAGTCTGGGAACCAGCGAATGCAGTTCCTCGGAGCAATTTCCATGAAAGTATTTGCAGAACAGACAGAGAGAGGCGACGGTGTATCTGTGAGAAAGTGACTGTAGACGAGATGCCAGAGCAGGGCCAATTATATTACATATCCGCCTCTGGAGCCTATCAAAAACCCCGAGGCAAACAGAAGGGGCACCAGACCATATATGGCAGCAATATTTGAAAAAGTGGGGTTGATTCTTCACGAGAAACCCACATTATAATCAAATCATCTGTGTGTGAGAAGTCGAAAGTCCAGTTCAAAAACTGAACTAGTCGACACGCATACGTCGGCATCGACGTGATAATTCAAGAAAAATCCAAGAAAATCCAAGAAAAATTACTGTAGAACAAGATAAGATCAAATTTTATTTACATCCTGAAAAGTTTTTTTTTTGTTTTTTTTTTTCGCTGGGTTTGGCGAAAAGGTGAGGAGAGCTATTGTAGATAATCATTACGAATGAATGATGACTTCGAATCTAATGAGGTACCTTATCATTGTAGCCTTCTGCAAAACTAAGCTTAGTAAAACTTGAATGAAGGTAGACCTTTCCTTCAACGCACCTCAGTTTTCAGATTCTTTGAATAAATAAAAAATTTTGTTTTGCGTCACCAATTGCTCAACATGATCTATATAAAATCAGCATTTTGTTTATCCTACGAATTTTTTTAACTAATTTTATTTTAGGTTCGGTGTAATGATGATTAAATTTAATCATTTGTTCTAGATGTATAATGATAGTGACTTTGATTAGATAGGAAGAGTTTTAAATGACTCTTCGAGTAGAGATTTTTGAGGGACTGAGGTACACTTTTAAATTAAATAGAATAGTTATTATTACTAGCGTAGATATGCAGGTAGCGTAAGCTATCGACGAAGAATCGGTGAGCAGAGTTCAAATTCCTGCCTTGGCGTTTAGATTCACTTGCACAGAAATTACCTTTTGAAAAGTGTTAATCCATCTCGTCTCCACCGCTGCAGTTATTTCGTTTTTAATTGCAGAGTAGACTGGGCTCTAAACCTTGGTTAACAGACAATCTAATGGGAGAACCTTGACTTCAAAATCATTGATAAGACAATGGAAAACTCCTTTACTATATTTCTAAGAAATGCATGGCAATTGACAGATAATAGGGGAAAATGACACTGTGACACGAGTAACTATATCACGAAGAAAAGTCTGACACTATGGAGATTCTATGCTCTTATGGAGAAGTGTTTCTGTTTGTTAGACCAGCTGCTGGCTCCTTTTGAATTTCGGAAACGGGAATTAAAGGGATTTTTTGGAGACCAAGTGACAACAAACCTGGAAGTAGAGCATATCCGAGAACTGGTCTATATGAACCGCCATGGTAGTTGGTAGGAGGAAGAACTAACACAACGCAAGTGATCCCAAGTATTACCTACCTACCCACCCAGAAGCCCGGAATAAAACACTTATATATAATATGGGAAATAGAGTTCGCGTCCTCATTACTAGACGTGGCGTTTGTCTTTCATCGTGTTACATTGTGAGCATACATACATCACGCCCTTCCTTACCTTTCAGTGAAAGCGAATTGAAATGCAACGTGTCAATTGAAAGCTGGGGCGAGAATTGCGTTGTATGTTTGAAAAGGCATTAAAAGTATTATTGACAATAGAAAATATTTTATCAATTGAAAATCCAAAATTAGATGATTTGACGATCGGGCAAAAGAGAGAGAAAGTTATGAAAAGGAAGTGGAGAATATAATGGGTTCTTTTCGAAATCATTTAGTCGTACAGCTGTTTTTATCATCCTTTTTTTTATCATTTTTTTTTTAGACCTATCTTAATTGTTTCCTTCGCTTAGGGGATAAAATTCAGATGATAAGCAAAACGAAATTTCATTTGCTATACCTTGTATTCTAAGAAGTGCTTGATTGGAAAGAAAGGCCGACGTAATCAGGATCGAATCAATGATCAATTTAATCCTTCAGTGGTCAAATGGTCAGAACAAACATCAGATTGATAGGGAAGAAAATCCTCTTTAATATGTTATTGTCCTTCAGCACGTGGACGGATGCGTCTCTCTGCAACTTTCGATATTTCGTTAACCTAAGTAATTTTTCCCTTTGCTTCTGTTTAATTCTCATTACTATTTCTATCCTTATAGTATTTACCCAAATCTCCCCCCTGGATGTGGCACAAGGTCGGCTTTATGTAGGAAACCCGAGCGCGTATACTCAGGCCAGGTACAAAAGTTCATCAGTCCCCGTAACTGTCGATGTGCTGGCCACAGTGGCGAGCCCCAATCTCGCACTCTAGTGCAATGAGAAGGTGCAGCCTCGATCAGCTGTTCATCGGGGCCGGTCACCTCAAAGTATTATTTTCCTTAGCTGCGACTCCGGCCACAGACAGAGGCCACAAATGAGTCGCACTCTGCACAGAGATTGAGACGCAACTGAAAGATGTCAAACATCTCATGGCAGGGACGCTGAACCCTTACTATTTTTATCCTTGTTCAGCAATCTCTCGTTAAGTAGAGTATTCATTGTTTCTAGCCCGGCTTCTCTTGCCGTCAGTGTATCCTGTGAATGTCAAATTATCCAGTACCTCTTTCCTATTTCAGATTGTAAAATCAGTTTTTTTTTTTTGTTTCACTTGTCTTACTCATTCTTCACGTATTGTCATTCGTCGGCAAAACATCTCTCTTTTCTTCATCTGAATGTGTTTTAGCATACCTACGGACGATAACTGGTATGCCCCCATTCACATAAATACAGTAGTAAATACTGTATGTTGGCCTACAGTTGGAGATTCGTCTTCAGGTGTGCTGGTCAAATTCTGCCTCCGGGCAGAAAGGATCCCCAAACTTGGCTATGTCGAAGGGTAGAGTCTCGTGTCGGGAAGCAGCTACCCGAGCCCGTTTTATACGGGGTCTACGGGGAAATTTTGGTCGAGTCTACGGGCGCGGTTACCCCACATTAAATTCGGCCTTATCTACCAGTGGGTCGGTTGGTAGATATGCTGCTGTTGGAAATTCATTGTGGAATTCACTTGATTCACTTCTAGCAGTTGACTACTTCTGCACGTCATGGACGGATCTTATATGTGTTGTTCTTGTCCTAAGTATTATCGTTCATTGCCAATCTTCGTGTGATTATTCTACTCAGTAACCTTACTTAGGTTACAACAAAATGGAAATCGACCAGCAATCACACCCGTATGCAAAATTAGATATTATGTATCAGTTCAAGCATATTTTTATGTGCTTTTATTTATATCTCATATTAGTTTCTGGAAGACGTATTTCATTATTCCGATGCAGCTTCGGACCTCTCTCTGTCTCTCTCTCTCTCTCTCTCACACACACACACACACAAACACACACAAGCTTCCTGTCGTCTATTACAACATTACCCATTTAATTATCCTTAATTAATTATTTTCGAATACGTAGCCCCATCTTCAGAAGCACAACGATGAAATAGCCAGTATTTTACATGACAGCCAATGTTGGACCATATCCTCATTGATGTAGAAGAGGCTTGAAGCGACAGAGATGTGGTTATACAAACGAATGTTGAAAATACACAAGAGTATCAAAGAAACGAGGACGATTTCATGGATTGAAATGCAAGCAATCTTCAGCTAAGAATTGGTCGCCCACATTACAGAGAAAGAAGCCACCGGGTATTTAATACTCACAGGGTATACGGAAATCGAAAAAAGAGGAAGGAAATCGAATAGCATAACGAAAGAGGGATGACGAAGGTTTGTAGTTAATTCTGGGGAGCCATGATCGACAATGTATTGAAAGGACTTCTCATACCAAATATAAATATCTACACTGATTTACATGATCACATTCTGGTTTTAATTTACTTTTTCAAAGCGACATGTGCTTACTTTATCTGAGCTAAATGTGGCGTAAGATTAAAAATCTGGCAATTAAGAATTTGTGACTGGCTGCTGCTCTAGCCTTAAGACCACAGTCTTGTCAACCGCTTAATCCATATCTGGTGGTGGAAAGAAACGAGTTCTTGCCAATTCCTCAGGAAAAAAAAATCTTAGCTGGGATGTCGTAATTCCCATGCCGTACTAACCTGGTCTTGCAACTCCTGAATAATGCACTGAATGGGGAAAAGTTCAATCCTTTGGTAAACTGTGTCACGCCTCTTAGGACAATGTTTGAATATATATATATATATATATATATATATATATATATTCAAGCATGTTTCATTGAATAATCTGGACATAATATGTCTATATTATTCAATGAAAGATACTACGTTCAGTAATCGCGAAAGTTTTTATTGATTCTTTTTCTACGGTTTATCAACCCTACGTAGGTTATTTACCCCTTGAGTCCTGACCACTGCTTTACCGTTGGTAGAAAAAAAATGACGTAATACCTAGCCACCGGCTAAACAGTGGTAGAGAAAAATGACTTAATACCCAGTCACCGATTGCATTGTGGGTAAACACTTGTAACTATTTTTACGTCTAGCGTGAAACATTGCATACCAATTATTTGCGAATTTTGACTCAGGAGCTCTGGCAGAAGGGTTAAAACTGATCAGGAATGCAGAGATCCAGGTGTTAAAACCAGAAGATATTTTTAGATAATAATGGTTTAGTGATACAAGTTGTATTATTTAAACCATAGTTGAGCGGAGAAAGAGTGGATTTATAACTTTTCCAGGGGTATTTTTGCGTAAGTGAATACAACGTCTCAAACTGGAATTAGAACTCGACTCTCTTATTAAGAATTCTGAGTCATTTTTCTTTACACTACTCGTACATCCAAGTTTACAGCGGCTGGTATTCTCAGGTGGTCATCCATCTTGGTACTGACAAGGCTCAACGTTGCTTAACTTTTGTGATCATACGGGAACCGGGGTTTCAAAATGATGTCGTCGTAAACCATGGCGAAAATAGTGAACAAAATGGTAGATACGTGTTTGAATAAATCTATTTTAAAATATTTTAAAAAAATCTTTGAGGTTACTAAAAAAAGTAAGCATTTTATTTTATTTATTTTTTTTGTTCACGCAGTAATGAAAATCACTGTTTGGAAGATGGCGACAGAACGATAGTAAGATAGTAACTTGAATGTTCGTTAACGAAGCCCACGAAAAGATGCTCAAAATATTCAAGTGAAATTTCTACTCTTCGAGTTCAAGAACGCAACTTCTGAGTGCAAGTTACATACAACTCCAGTGCGATGGAAAATGAAAAGATAACTGAGCTGAAATTCAAGTAATATCCCGCCAAAACATCTGACTCCGGCGGCCATTGTCATCGCTGTCATGGCTGCTTAAGGCATCTATTTGCTAGTGTATAAACTCATCAGATTCATTTCTTAACTACAAACTTTTTATTCATTGATTTTTTATCCTTTTCCCCTTCTATATATATGACTGCTTCTTATGTATTTTTCCACAAAATCACAGACGTCGAATCGAAATGATAGGAATATTACTCTCTTTTACTTGTTATCCATCAGAAAAAAACAGTAGAATATATATATATATATATATATATATATATATATATATATATATATATATATATATATATATATATATATATATATATATATATATATATATATATATATATATATATATATATATGTGTGTGTGTGTGTGTGTGTGTGTGTGTATGCCACCTCGATGTGGTGTAATGGTTAGCAAGCATGTCTCACTAGAACAACTGAGTAATGAGTTCGATCTTAACTGGGTGTCCTAACTTTCGGCTTTGTGCTTGGAAAATCACTATATTCAAGCATGTTTCATTGAATAATATAGACATATTATGTCCATATTATTCAATGAAACAACATGCTTGAATATATATATATATATATATATATATATATATATATATATATATATATATATATATATATATATATATATTCAAGCATGTTTATTGAATAATAAAGACATATTATGTCTAGTATATTTTTAAAAACATGCGTGAACGTGTTTTGCATTTCTTCCAACTCTGGTTCTACTCGGACGCTTGTTTTGCAAACAATTCCATAACGACAACGAATAAATTAAAAATTTTAAATAAATATAACGGAGTGAGTTTACGCCTGTTTTTTTTTTTTTAAAGAAATTCGAGTCCAAGAAATTTTTATAGAAAATATGCGTCTTCCGAAAATTTTCTTTGAAAATTTCTCGGACATTCAGTTCGGTAAATATCGTTAATACTGTTTATTATAAACAGAGCAATTACTTCAATATTTGTATTTATAAAAAGAACGTTATAAGTTAAAAAAAGTAAAAGAGAATGATAAAATCATCGTTAATAACGCTATACGCTTTGCGTAAACGCGGACAGCCATAAACAACCGAACGAGAAACAGCTAAACATCTTATAAACGTAAACAATGGAAAAGATGTATATTCGCTATGTTTGTATTTTCTAATACGATACTAATATGTGAATATCAAATGCATTATTATTGGATACAGTTAAGTACATCACTTTTATCAAAATCATGTTTATTTTAAATACAACTGTACTTCCGGACTAGAATAAATAGATGTATAGTCTGGTTAACGGCGTAGTCAGGGCCAGCAGTACAGACGCTAATTTTATTTTATATCTCATGTATGATATGACCCCCTTAAAATTACCTTCAAAATAAGGTCTTCGAAAGTCGGATGATACGCCGGTATATACGGTATATTGCATACCATTTCATCACTCATGTCTTTATTTCTAAGGAAAATTTTTGCTTAGTTTCTGGAATGCCTCTTTCTTTATACATCTGCGCCTTCAGATTCCTGTGCCAGACTCCATTGTCACTTACTCATGTATTTACATTATTTTGATTTCCCCATTGTGTAGCCCTCAATTTGGACTACCCCTTTTACTGACAACCATGTATTCCCTCTTCTTACACTCAATGGTTAATCCTTTTTTTTCTTGCTTTCTTCAACTACGTTGACTAAACCATCTTGAAAGTTTATAAATCTACCACCCGGCCGTGCATTCAGTATGATCCTCCTGTTTATACACCTCGAGATTTATTAAAAATCCAAAGAAGAATCTGTAAAATTATAAATCCTAACCTGGCATCTCGGTTTAGGTCACTCTCGCTGTAAAGTAAATTCCCTGTGTGTTTATCCGTAAACGATTTTATGGTACTTTGTTCTGATAATCTTTCCTTTTTTGGCATCTCCACCTCAACGTTTTACTAGATTGGCAATTGGATTTCATCATTTTACTCCTGTGGAAATAAACATTCCACAAACTTCCACAATAAATAAAATAAACTTGCTGTGAAGACAAT